TCTACAGGTCTTAGCCAAACAGTTTCATCCTCTCGCCACCCTGTGACACAGGGAAATACTAATGCAGTTTCCAGAAGAGAGGCTGGAACTTTGCTTAAATTAAATACGAGCCAACAGACAGGGTGAGTTTTCGGCAGGGCCAGGGGCTGAGCAGAGATCTTGTCTGTCCCAATCTGTGCCATGTTCTCTAGGACATCATCTAGCTCGAAGTGCTTATGCTGCTGTCTCTGAAGCTACCTAGTAAGAAGTTTGCTAATGACCAAGATGATGACAATTTTAATTTTTTTATATATATTTTTTAAGATATTTAAATAATTAAAATTTATATATAAAAACTAGGTTTTCTTGCATGAAGAATGCCTGTACATAGGTGTCTTTCTCTTCAGTCAAGTGTTTAGCATCTGTTTTCTTCTGCCTTCACTTTCGTCTGACCTGGTGTTGAAAAAGCAATGTGTGCAGCCTCCTCTAATGAGGCAGCCAGGAGAGCACGATAGCCTGGTACAGGTGATTGCACTTCTTTTTTTCTGCAATAAAGGCAGAATTTCTGTTCTTTTGTACCCCTGTGTCAGTTTTAGGGACAAATAGTCCCTCGATCGTGAACTTGGAAGTTCATTATTGAAGTGTTGAGTATTGCTGTCCTGAAACTGAGCTGTTGCCAAAGTAAGAAGGTATATATTCAATAAGCCTTTGGTTTTGGAGTCCCTGCTGTGCCATAGGAACATGATGTACCAAGAAAGAAATTTTTTTGCTTCTTTAGTTGTTTTTTTCCTTAAAAAGGTGCAGGAGTTTCAGTTTCTTGCCTGAACTGTTCAGCTTAAGAAATTTTCCAGCATTTGAAGTGGTGACAGATCCCCATGGCTTGCATTTGGGATTCTAATTCTTTGTGGCCAGAGATCCCGAGGAGCTACGTATTTATCAAGTTCAGCTTTTACAGTGCTTCTGTGAGATGAAATTATCATTGCTTGTCAGATGGGAAGGCAGCAGTACACCGTGTGACCTGCCTGAGATCACGCTGCCGACTCATGTCAAGGGAGGGGTGGATTCCTACCTCCCTTAACTTCAAAATCATCCTTTGTGAAAGTGAAGAACTTGTCTCGTTGCACAGCCACGGGGCGATGTTACATATCCTAGTATGCTCCAGTAAGAAATGCTGTCTTAACAAACAGTTTTCTCATAAGCAGCATGCTAACAGCTATCAGTTTTATTTTATTTCAGTGGTGGACAAATTCACCTTCGGGGCTGCGATGACTGACTCATCCCTCCTGTAACCTGTGCATCGTCTGAACCCAGGCTCTGCACATGGGGCTGCCTGACATAATAAATAATTGCTCTGTATAGCTTTAGTAATGTGAGCATTAATATTGATCCAGCACTGACTTCTCTAACAACAACCAAAAAAAAAAAATAATGTATCTGTTATCTTGAGAAACCTCCCAAACAGCTCTAGTCTCCTTTCATTACAGGAGAGAGTTATTAGGGCAGATGGCCGAGGTGATATCCGTTTGACCTATAGATGCTAACTCAAGAGTCGGATCATTAATAAGGTGGCCAGAGATAGGGAGAGAGGGCAGTAAAGAGAGTTAAAAAGCAATCCTGTGCACAAAGCATTGCGTGTCCAGGAGTGCTGGCTGGTGAATGAGATGGACACAGGTGAAAAAGTGGCTTCGAGGTTTTAAACGCTCATCGCCAAGTCAAGCAGATTATGCTTAAAAGCTGATGTTTTCCCATATTTGGTTCCTGCCCCGGTGTGAAACCTTTGGGAGGAAAAAAGAGCCTGTAGCTCTTGAACACAAGACAAAAATTTCATTTTCTCTAATTAACCACGCACCCCCCCCAAAAAAAAAAAAAAGTGCTGTATTGTTTTCTGCCATGGCCACAGCTGCAGTGGCTCAGGTTTGAAAGCTGCTGCCTGGCAGAAAACCAGTCCTTGCTGAGGATCAGACCGTGGCCTCGTTCCAAGAGAAATTTGGATTTCATTTGACCATGATAGGATTCCAGATTGTCATCTGAGCATGTCTGAAAAGTGGTGAATGTGTGTCAGTAGTTAAGTGCTCGTGAACTTCCTTAGTCCCTGGATTGTTCAGGACTGACCCAGGCAATTTTTTCCAGATGTTTTGGGGAATCCAAGTCCATATAAAAGGGATGGTAATGCTTCTGCTTCCTTACTAAGTTGTCTTTGTGGCTTGCAGGAATGTGCATGAAAGCTGGAGCCAAGACACCCCGATTTCTAGTCTCACCTCTACAAACTGCACTTTAACCTTTTCTGCCCTTCCCCGGCATCTCCACACAAGATCACAGAAACTTCGTGGGCCCGGTGCAAACTTTGCTTGGCCTTATTAAAAAAAAAATAAGCATTGCTCTCTTTTTATTGTACAAAACTCCAGTCCCTGTTCTCCAAACCTCCTCTGAAATTGTTTTTTCACCTTTGATCCAGCAGCTGCTGGTATTCTGCAATCCTGAGTAGGTAAAACATGAGAAGCACCTTGGGATGGGAAGGAGTTACAAAAATATGAAATATATTGCAGTGCACTTCCCTGAGACACGGTGTAACAGAGTGGCTGTTTAAGCGAACACCGGGCAGAAATCTTTAACAAATAAGTGTTCTGATTCTTCTAGTAAATGTAATTTTTTTACTGTTCGTTGCAGTAGTTTCTCTCCCACTTTATTGACTCTTTTTATCCTCGTGTTTTTTATATTAAAATGGTTTATGTTGCTATCTCTAAAGTCTGCATGATCAAACCCTGTCTTCCCTAATGTTTGAATTTGGCTACACTTTTCATCTTGTAGCTGTGGCAGAAGACTTCTCTAAATCCTGATTTTAAAGGATGGTGTTTGTTTTAAATTTTATCTCTTTTTAAAATTTTAAATGAAAACATACTCTCAGTGGCAAAGTGGATTGAATGGGGTTGAGAGGGAATTGCTCAGTAGCAACCGGTGCTGTATGACATCCGATGAATGCTAATTCTTCATCCCCAAAACAGTTTTGAGCAGATGAAGGCAGCTGATTTCTGCAACAGCTTAAACAGAGATTGAAATGACTTCCATGATCTGGAAGCAGATTTTTTTTTCTCCCATAGCAGGTGCAGGCTCGGTCCACAGTGATTTCTGTTATACTCTAACTTTGCAGTTTAAAAAATTTAATGTCAGTGCCCAGCCAGGCAAAACCTAACTCCCTAACATTTCTGTTTTTCACGGAAGGCTAAGACTTTATCCTCAGGCAAAGTCTCCTCTCTGGGCTGGCTGCTGTAAATCCTCTGGGCCCTGGCAAAAGCCAGAGTTGCTAGCTCATTTTACTTAATTTGTGATGCTGGCAAGATTTGTGCTGCAGCCCAGGGCTGACTCAACTCTCCTAAATCAGAGCATTGACACATTACAGTAGAGAAACACCAGCACAGAAAACCTGAAAATAAATGCCTTGAAAAGGTATTTCAGAAAGATTCTGCCTTGCAAAGCTTTAAATGGTGTTAGTGGAACATTAGAAGTTTCTCGGTGTTTGCCTCTTTAAAACCACCTGCTCATTAAGAAGTTGGGTTTTATCTGCTGTCATAATAAATATTTTTTACTGCATATTTCATGTGAGGATCTTAGGGCACATGATATCTTTCTGCAGAAACCCTGCTAGACAAAATGTCATGAGTTTTTGCACGTGGGTAAACAGAGACACCGGGTGAAGTGAAGTGATTTTGTCTACACAGGAACATGAACCAGCATTGGTGTAATGACGTAATTACAGCAAATATAAATGTGTCAGGTTAACACCAGTGTGCTCGTTCTTATTCCGGACTAAGAATCCTTTTTCCTGCTTGGATAATTCCATTTTTAAAGTGAGAAAGTGTATCCAAGAGGATAAAGTGCTTGGCTGTGGTTGGGGAGATCAGAGGTTCTGTTCTCAAACCTGCCTGGATTTGCTGGGAGATCTCCAGTGAATTTTCTCCTTTCTCTGCACCATAATGTCACATGTGTAGGACTGAAGATGATGTTATATGTACGGAAAAAAAAAAAAAAAAGGCTATTAAACAAAACCAGAGCAATCACACGGGTGGTGTCCATGCTGACTTGAAACAGTCGGTGCCTGATGTCCACACTCTAAATGTTTCTGGTTTATCCTATTTTTAAAAGCTGTTTTTTTGGTCTCATAGCCTGAATGCCCACTTGCGACTGGAGGGTGTTAGGTGTATTCCTCTGGCAACATCTCTTTCGTTTTGGTTTCACTACAGCAAGGAGCCAGCATATGCACTCCAGGATTGCTCCATGATGCAGACAAAACAACAATAAGCGGGGGTGATGGGGAGATGCATTTCAAAGGCGTGCTCCTGATCCAAACCAACACACACACAGTGCTGGGGTGTTCCCACATAATCATAACAGATAACGTCCATGTGCAGCAAGCTCTTAAGATGGTATCAAAGGCAGAACCTGGCAGGTTGAATGGGGCTTAGTCCTTTGCTTTAGCCTTCAGACTGTGCTGCTTCGGGAAGGTGCGGCAGGTTTAGGAAGGCATTTTCCTAGTAGTTAATCTGCAGTCAAAATTGTGTGATCTATAAGCAAGACAGCTAATTCGAGTGAATTTTACTTCAGTGTATGCTTTGCAGTCCGCTTTGATACAGCAAAAAAAGGTTTGACCTCTCTGCCTTCATTTAAAATGAATGAAGCAGATTTGTGTTATTGTAATCCCAACAACTGCAGTGAGAAATAATCAGGATGTTTTTAGGTAGAACTGACACTCTGGACCTGCTCCACAAGGTCTACTGTCATTGGTGAGCTCTACCCTCATATCCTTTGCTCATAGGTTTGATGTTACACTGCGGTGAGGGCATCTGCCAGTTATGATGGTGACTGATGCCAGTCGGAGGAGATGCCACTCTTTCCTTCCAAGTAGATTGGCAAGAAGCTGTTAAGTGGCCAGTTATCTCTTATGGGCTGAGATGCATATGAACATTTGCTCTGATGCTTGTTTGTTTCTGTAAAACACATTTTAATTATCCTAATGCCTTTTTTAAATGTTCTTTGTTACAGAAGAAGAAGAGGAACAGGTGCCGACCGATGGCGGTACATCTGCAGAGGCCATGCAGGTGCCACTGGAAGAAGAGGGAGATATGGAAGAGGATGAGGCAATTAATGATGAGAACTACTTGAGCAAGAGACCATTAGAAAGTCCTGATACTGAGGAATTTCCACCTGTGAAACGACCAAAACTATCTGTTTCTAAAGGGGACTCCTTGGATGGAGCTTTGGAGCCACGTGAGCCTCTTAGCTCAATAAATACTCAAAAAGTACCACCAATGCTTTCTCCAGTTCACGTTCAGGACAGTGCAGACTTAGCCCCTCCTTCACCAGAACCACCGATGTTGGCTCCCATTGCAAAATCACAAGTGCCAACCCCCAAAACTTTAGAGGCAAAGCCGTTTGTACCCAAAACAAAGTCCAAAACAAGTTCTCCAGGACAAAAGACAAAATCACCTAAAACTACACCCTCGCCAGTGGTAACTGGAAGTCCCATACGTTCACCAAAAACTGGATCCAAAGAAAAAAAGTCACCGTGTCGCGCCAAGAGCCCAAAAAGCCCTAAAAGTCCAAAAGTTCCTGCTCATGTTCCCCAACCACCTGTCAAGCTTGAAACACCGTGTAGAACCCCTCTGGCTGCACTAAGTGACAAGATAGGAAAGGAAAACATTCAAGTAAAACAAGAACAGACATCACCTGAGCCTGTCACCAAGCCAAATATTGAAAACCAGACTAAGAAAGTACCAGTAATGGACAAGACAATTGATGACTCAATCGATGCTGTCATTGCTCGTGCATGTGCAGAACGAGAACCAGATCCCTTTGAGTTTTCCTCTGGTTCTGAATCAGAAGGGGAAATTTTTACCAGTCCTAAAAGACTTTCTATTTCAGAGACTACAACCCCTAAACCTTCTGTTTCTGCCAATAATGCTAATAAGGCAGGAGCAACGCCAATACCTCCCTCAGGTGGGACCTCAAGTTCAGACATTTCATGGACAATGGATGACTCAATTGATGAGGTCATCCGAAAGGCAAACATGGGGACACCTTCTAATCCACCTACCAACTTCACTTATTTCTCCTCTCCTTCTGCTTCACCACCCACGCCAGAACCTCTTCTCAAAGTCTACGAGGAGAAAACCAAGTTGGCTTCATCGGTAGAAGTGAAAAAGAAATTGAAAAAAGAGCTGAAGACAAAAATGAAGAAGAAAGAAAAACAAAAGGAAAAAGATAAAGAGAAAAACAAGGAGAAAAATAAAGAAAAGGAAAAGAACAAGGAGAAGGATAAAGACAAGGAAGGAAACAAGGAGGCAAAGTTTCAGTGGAAGGAACTACTCAAAGATGATGATCTTGATCCTTATAAATTCAAACTAAAGGACTTTGATGATGCTGACACAAAAGTGAAGTTGAAAGATGGCAATACCAAGAAAGAGAGAGAAAAACATAAAGATAAAAAGAAGGAGAAAGAGAAAGGCAAAAAAGACAAGGACAAGAAGGACAAAGAAAAACTTAAAGATAAGGGTAAGGAAGATAAGGTAAAGACTCCATCAACACCTCTTGTGATACCTCCCAAAGAAATGTCTTTGCCCTTGTTCAGCACACCAACTGCCATGAGGCTTCCCACTGTGTTACCTTCCTTGTCTCCAATGCTTCCTGAAAAACTGTTTGAGGACAAAGAGAAACCAAAAGAAAAGAAAAAAGACAAAAAAGAGAAGAAGAAAAAGAAAGAAAGGGAGAAGGACAAAGAAAAGGAAAAGAAGGAGAAGGAAAGGGAGAGGAAAGAAAGAGAAAAGAAAGAAAAAGAAAAAGAGAAACACAAACATGAAAAGGTAAGCTGTTTAGATGAGTTGAAATGGCAATACTTGCTTGAGAAATGCAAATGGATTCCTATATTTGCTGCTGAGCGTTGTGTAAGAGCTTTGAGATGAGCTTTGGTATTTTTAAAAATAACAACTCCAAGGAAGACATCAGGCAAGTTTCAGGGATTGTCCCACCTCTCTGGAAGACAAAACAATGGAAGTTGAGTTCTGTGAATTTGAAATGTGAGAGTGTCCTGCTGGTTTTCCTCAACTCAGTTTTCTCTTTGAAAAGCTGGGGCTCAGGCTCAACAACAGCACACACACAACACATGTATGTAGTGTTGCAATGCACAGATTTTGTTCTGTATATTTCCACTAGCAACCATATACCTTCTATATAAACTTTAGATTTAGTTTCTAGAAGTCTACTCTTTGACCGCTTGTAGAAGCCTGTAAATGACCAGGTGGACAGAAATGAGGAGCAGGCTGCCTTCAAATAAACAAGTTAACCGGTTATCTCAGTTGTTCAGAAGAGCTGCTGAATCCTTTCTTAGCAAGACCACCCCCTTGTTGTTCCAGTTTGTTTGAAGTAAGAAAATTGTTTCCAAATCATGGCCTAAATGTTCAAACGTCACCTTTCGTTTTGAGTCTTATGCTTGAGAGGAGAGCTAGTTTTCAAGTGAGATGCACTCCTTCCACTCCTGTAACTCTCACAGATTTACATCAGCCAAAGATAATTTCTTCTTTCCAATATCACCTAATCTTGACAATATATTTAATATTTAAGAAATTAAACCAGCATATTTGCATGTTATCAGTATTGAAATCCCGTTAGAAATGGCTCCCCTAATTCAGGGTTTGCTCTAATTTTTTTGTCATTTCACCTTATAATACACGTTAAATTGTTAATGTAAGAAGAAAAAAGAAGAGATTGTCTTCATATTGATAACCTTGGATACAGGATTTCGTAAACCTCTGTCCTTAGCATTAGAAAGCACTTTTTAACTTTTGGAAGATGCTCTTTATATCCTGCTTTGAGTGTAAGACTCAGTTTGAACAAGTTCAGATTTGGGACATTCCTCACTTTCCTTTTTTTTCCCACCCATACCCTGTTGTGCTACATGCTGGACTTGAATCAAACTGCTGATTTCAAAATCTGACTTATTTTTTAAGTTGACAGGTGGAGTTTCAGTGCAGAATCTGGGTGATCTGGAGAACTAACATTTGTTTGCTGTGGATGAGTCGGTGATTGAGAGGGCGGTGGTCCAGTTGTCCGTGTTAATTTACTGTCCAGGTTTTAGGCTGCAGCAACACTTTCATGGATTCCCCATTTTGTCTGCCTGCCCCTCATGCCTGAGATGTTTTGTCAGTATTTCACTGAGAATTTCTGCAGAGATTTCTTTTTAAGTTAAATATGTGTGCATATAAAATAGAAACGAGTTGCTTGTTTTTCATACATTCTATTTTGCATTTCCTCTGCAAATCTATATCTAGTTTGCTTTAGAGCAATATAACAGATACACAAACAAATACAAACTGGTAAAGCTTGGTATAGAGTGAACATATATATGTTAGGAAAAGTAGTTCAACAGTAATAAAAACTTGGACAAATTAAATTGACAAAGCTGCCCATTACCTTGGCAAAAAGTCCCTGTCAAAAGATAAACTTTAAAGCTAGAATGCATGAAAGGGTCCCCAGATAGAATTAAAATTTAAACTGATTCTTGATAGATAAGCTTTTTTTAAATCCACCTCTTTGCTGCAAGTCAGGATTTTAAAAATAAATTTCCCCTTTAAATCTCTTGAGCGATTTTCATTTTTTGCAAGGCCGCACTGCTGGTGTCCTGGAAAAATGGAGAGTTAGAGCTTTATCAGTTGGTGCCCTGAGGTATGTGGCAAAGAAGCTAAATCCTTGAAGATTAGCAAAAAAAATGCAGCACATGGCAATAAGGGGCTTATATGACTACTAGTATTAGTTCAGGTGAAAGAAGTATTGCTTATACATAAAACTGGACAAATCCACTGACAATGTATTTTTAGTTAGCTACAAAGGAGTCTTATATTGCTGGACTTTACCTCTTTGGTGATTTGGGAAGCTTAGTAATCCACTGTAAATGCTCTTCTGCTGGCCCCAATTCCCAGTATTACTCCAGAATGCTGCTCTTTCGTTTTAACCCCTAAAAGTACACTTTCCCTTAATTTAGCTTTTAGATCACACAATGACTTGTTTAGCCAGCAGTTGTGCTGTAAGAGCAAATGATCGAGTTAACTGCTTGGACACTGAACCTTCCACAGCACATCCCCTTTGGAGGCGTAAGCGCAACCTGAAAGACGTGCTCCTGGGCTACCTGCCGTTTCAGCTCTTGATAGCCAGTAGAAAATAACCAGATTTCTGTTTCTAATATTGCTATGCTTAAGTAAAAGAGCCACTCAGTGGTAGTGTTTCCATTTTTGAGTATTACAGTTATTACTTAAGCGTGCATCCCATCCTGTTGGGGAATTGAAGCCTTTTATCCAGTTTTTCCCCGTAATTTTGCCCCGAGCTGCTGGAAGACACAGAACAGCAACTGATACTCTGCTAAATGGTAGAAAGCAGAAGCTGAAGGCTGCATGCTGGGACTGTTTGGTGGTGGCACCGAGGAAGAAAAGCTTTTGTGCAGGGCTTGCCTGCAGCTCTGTGCTCTGCAGTAAGCGTTGGGGTGCTGCCCTTGGAGCCAGAAAAGGAGACGGTGAGCTGGGGCGCTGCCTTGCATACACCACCAAATTAAAAGCAAACAGCTGAAGCAGTTACACCCCACTTCTACTGTGGAGATTACTGGGCGTGCTGTAGGAGTGACTGAGCAGCTCACGAAACAGCTGCTGACCCAGTTTCAGCTAACCTTAATATGCTGATCTGTAAACTAAAGCAGTTGAGGAACTGCTTTCATGAGAAATGGAGCCGTCCTTGCATCAGGGCAGGGTTGGCCAGAGCTGCCCCAAAGTAAAGTGCCCTTATTTGTGAATCAAAATCCTGTCATCGATGTAGAGGAAGACCAGGATATCCAGGATATAACTGTGAAGGCTCTTTCTCTGCTCCAGTTGTGCAGACCCTACACACAAACCCCTGTTGTAGAAAGATGCTTCCTCTCCTCGTGTATCAAAGAGTAAGATTTAGGATTGTCATGGAATCCAGTTTTCCTCTCCCAATGGACTGCGATGTTGATATCTGAGCATAAAGAAGTGTTTTGTGTGCTTTTCTTCTGCCATGTAAGCCCACGCCACCATTGTTTAGAACATCTTGGAGGTATACAAGTAATAGTGCAAAGGACCTTTACACAAAAGACAGATGAAATGGGTGTCTTTCTGTGCTGCGTGCTGGAAGCTGAGCAGCAGTGCTTGTCCTAGGAAGTTTTGTATTCAAAGCAGGCACTACAGGAGGAGGAGAAACCTGCAGGAAAAGAGGTAAGATAGTCTGTGCAAAGCCAGGTGCCTGAGCCTCCTGTACCCAGGGTTCCATTCCATGTCTCTGTCCGGTGGGTGATGCTCCAGGTTAAGATGCTGGAAAGCAGTTAAGAGACTTACCGGTGGAAAGTGGCAGTGAAACTGTTGCAGGCGTTAGGAGCTCCAGAGGCAAAAAGCTCTTGCAACACTCCAGGGGAATGACATAACAAAAAATCATATTATATAAACAAAAGCATAGAGAGAGGCCTGTGAAGTAGGCTAATACATATCCATAGAGAGCTTTGTTGAAAAGCATGGTTAACTGTGTCAAAACAGAAATACTCCTCAGGCTGCAGCCCTCTCTCTGGGGTAGACGTCTCCTAACGAGCAGCTCTGATTCTTTGGACAAGGTGTGTGGCACGGGACTTTGTCATTGCCATTCCTCAGTGTAAGTCCTGATGGAGTCCTCCCACTCTGGCCTGCTGTCTCCTGCGCTGCTTTCTGCGCTTTGAATTGATTGTTTGCCCTCCCTTCCCTTATGAAAGCTTTTAAAAACAGATTTCTCCCACTGAGAGTTGCTTGGGTTTCCATTTAGTGGATGCATACTATTTTTGTCTCTTTACATTTCTGGACCAGATTCAGCTAAGTGGTTATTTTATTAAATACGATGACGCATATGCTCAAAACGAGACCAATCTCCCTCTCTTTCTACATATATATACATATATAATGTATATACGCTTCTCATATATATGGATATAAGTTGAGCAACTTATGTGTGGAGAATCATTACAGTGTCACCAACTGTAAAATCAGAGATGATTCTGTACAGGTTTTGCAAAGCAGTAGTTCAGTGGGAGTTGGTAATTTTGGCAGATACTGGTTCCGAGTTTAAGGACATATTAAAGTGGTCTAAACTCCACCAGAAACTGAGGTTGGAAACCAGACCATTTGAAAAATAGCCGTTAGAAACCCCAGCCTAATTGCATTAAAAAGCAATGGTTCTGTTTACCTGTAAGCATTTTCTGTTTACCTATATAAGCATTTTCATAAAGTATTAAAATGTTGGTGCTTGGGGTTTATTTGCTTCCTCTGTGTCTTAATTTTGATGCAAGAGGGTCACAGTACATGTGATATGATGAACCTGGGAAATAATTGAATTTAAATCCCCCTCCCCCAAAAAAAGCCCAAACACCTATTGAGTACTAAGATCAAAGCATCGCATGTCATTGTTTAGAAACATGCTGGGGGATTTTGTGTCTCTAGAAAAACACTCAAGCTAGGAGGACTTGTTAACAGAGTATATGAGCAGGTACAAATGCAGTGAAATTTCAAGTTTATTTTTTAGTCTAGAACTCATTTTTGTGATTTGCTATGTCTGGGAGCTCCCAACAAACTCTGACCATCCATGCCACGGCACAAAAGCGTGAGAGAGCAGTGATCAGTCTGTCACAGGTCTGTCTCATTAAGCCAATATACTCTGTTTGGTTAACCCCATCGATGCCTTCATGTAATTAATATATTTTGGGAGTCTGCTGGCAGTCTTTGATAGATGATTGTGTTCCCTTGTACAGATAAAGGTGGAACCAGTTGTTCCAGCTCCATCACCGGTTATTCCTCGGCTGACTTTAAGAGTGGGTGCAGGCCAAGACAAGATGTAAGTACAAATAAATCTATCTGCAAGGTGTATGGTGGCTCTTATTTTTAGTGGGAAACGCTTAAAAATTAGTGGTGAATGACTTGCATACAGCTATGACGTCTTTTGACCTTTCTAATGAAAAATCAAGAATGCTTACCAATAGAAACTTTTTGGACATTTTACCCTTTTCTTTCTACCCTCCAAGTGGGACCCGCCATCTTCTATTAATTCTGCTGTGTTTCTCACTCCATGCCTTTCAAGGACATGGATTACAAGAATCCATCTAGACTCTTATGACGCCTCCAGAGATATTTAGTGAGGTTTCCCTACTTATCCCGAGCGTAACCTACAGCTAAGTTTCATAACGCTCTTCAACTAACAGTTGTTTTATGCTTTAAAACATAACAGTTGAGATTCCTTTATACGTGTCTGTTTTATTATAACTGTTGATGATTATTCATGAGTGTACCTAACGCATTTCAAATGATGGTTCATTAGCTCCCTAATTATTGGGTGCTGTTGTACAAATAATAGTTACTTTGTACTGTATGAGTGTAAATAGGATGATCCCTATCCTGAGATCATACAGCATAAACAGGTGGCTGGGGAAGCTGGGCAAACCATGCGTCACTGGGCTTTTTAGGCTGGTTCTGCGTTGTATGTGGAGGGTTTCTTTTAATCAGGTTTTTCATGTTTTTAATGGTGCAGAGCACACTTTCATGTCTGATGGTAAACATGAGCACCGAACAGATTTTTTTCCTTTCCATCCATCCCATTAAATATTGCTAATGGAGTTGTTTTTTCTTTTATAGCCATTCTGAACTAAATTTCCTAATCACTAATTTTTCTGCTTTATAAGTTAAATAGCCTCTTTGATGATTATTTTGTTTTTCTATGCCGTCCCACTCTGTCTCAGTAGGCAATGGTGAGTTTTACTGGTTTGAAGTTGCTATGGGACTTCAGTCATTTTGTGGTTTCCATGGGACACCCCCACCCCAAGTATCAGAGCTTTTTCCTGCTTTTCAACAGTTTGTGCTTCCTTCCTTTCACAATACTTGAGTGTAATCTAAAATTTCCGTGCCTCAGATTGCTGTACGAAAGCTCCTGCTTTCTCAGAACAGTTGTCTGTCCAGCTGTGCAGTTTTGAATGTGCATGGGTGGACAGACTGTCCCTTTAAAGCCCACAAATTTATTTTCCTCCTTGAGGAGCTACAGATACTTCTAAACTCCTCTTTTTCAAAAATAGTATAGGTATTTATATGGGGGAAATTGTCATATTTTCAAGGCAGAACTTCTACATTAAAGTTCTGAGGCCACATTTTATCACTGAAGAGTTGACTTTGCTTCCCATCTTACCTCATCCTAGACTTTCTCATACCCACACACAATTTGAGGAGGGACTTCAGATTCCATCTGCTGGCTACAAGTTGTCTGGGTACTTAATTGCTTACCAGTGGTATGGGTACACTTTACACTTACCAGCGTGAGAAAACATGGACCTGCTCGAGTGAGTCCAGAGGAGGCCACGAAGATGATCAGGGGGCTGGAGCATTCCCCTGTGAGGACAGGCTGAGAGAGTTGGGGGTGTTCAGTCTGGAGAAGAGAAGGCTCCAGGGAGACCTTAGAGCAGCCTTCCAGTACTTAGAGGGGCTACAGGAAAGATGGGGAGGGACTCTTGACCCGGGATTGTAGGGACAGAATGAGGGGTAATGGTTTTAAACTGAAAGAGGGTAGATTTAGATTGCTATAAGGAGGAAATTCTTTCCTGTGAGGGGGGTGAGGCCCTGACACAGGTTGCCCAGAGCAGCTGTGGCTGCCCCCTCCCTGGCAGGGTTCAAGGCCAGGTTGGACGGGGCTTTGGGCAGCCTGGGCTAGTGGAAGGTGTCCCTGCCCATGGCAGGGGGGTTGGGACTAGATGATCTTTAAGGTCCCTTCCAACCCAAACCATCCTGTGTTTATATGATCATCATTAGCCCTGCTAGCCCATAGTGCGTCAGAGATACTAACATCTTGTTTCACGGCCTTTTGGGGAACTCAATTCTATCCCCATTTCCTATGTGCGCCTTTAGTGGCACCTTGACCTCCAACTGAGGACCTCAGGTGTTGTGATCCTTAGCATGGCAGAGCCTAGACTTTAAACCTCAACTCCAGCATGGGAGATTCACAAAGCTGACTTAGCTCAAAGTTTCTAGACAAATTAGGGGAGAACTAAACACCAAGGCTGAGATCTTCAGAGGCAGGGGAGTCCTGGAGGCAACTGGTAGGAAATGCTAAAAAGTGGTTGCACTACAGCATCTGTACTTGTCTTTGGAGGGGAATTTCATCTTCTCCACATGACACTTGTCCTTGAGATTGCTTTACTGGTCTCCCTTTTCTACCTTAAATATCTCCTCACTGCTCACCATACTGGCATGTGAAAGTTGTCCCAGTGTAATGGCTGTATCACCCAGTTGCACCTTCTGGCTGATGGCAAACAAGAACTTACGGAACTTTGTGATAGCTTTTAGGATTTGTCACAGTTCTCCAAGGCAAAATCCAGGCAGAAATTTGCCATTACACAAGTAAGTACAGTTTGCACCACGTGACTCTGGGAACTGTTTCATGTTGCATGTCGATCCGTTGTCTGATGCGGCAGGGCTCGCAGTGGAGCTGTCCTGCTCTAAATAATACTTTCGCTTTCAACCACAACAATTAATATTCAGCCTGAACTCAGAGCATATTTTAATTTTCACATGTTGTGATCATTATGAAAAGGTCCGGTGTGGCTCTGAGACAAAGCATTATATAGCTGTGTGTGTGGCTTGGACCTCTGAAGTCTGTGACCTCTATTTAAAGTTATTAGTTGAAAAGACTAAAGTAGGATCATCAGTCCTTTAAGTAGCTCGTAACAGGCAGAAACAAAAGTTTTTGTGATGTATTATGGTAAGGAAAGGTTAAACTTATGTTTCATCTGTGTTGGTAATGAAGTTCTGAATAACTGGTAATTATCATATAGAAATGCGTTTCAATTAGCATGGCTCTTGAGTTTACTAACATGGGATTATTTGAGAATACCGTGAATTGCCATCGTGGTGGGTTGACCCTGGCTGGATAGCAGGTGCCCACCAAAGCTGTTCTATCACTCCCCTCCCCAGCTGGACAGGGGAGAGAAAAATGTACCGAGAGGCTCTATGGGTTGAGATAAAGACAGGGAAATCGCTCAACAATTCACTCATAATGAGCAAAACAGACTTGATTTGAGGAGATTAGTTTAATTTATTACCAATTAAATCAGAGTAGGATAATGAGAAATAAAACCAAATCTTAAAACACCTTCCCCCTTCCCACCTCTCCCTTCTTCCTGGGCTCAACTTCACTCCTGAATTCTCTACCTCCTTCCTCCCCAGTGGCACAGGGGGACGGGGAATGGGGGCTGTGGTCAGTTCACCATGTGCTGTCTCTGCCGCTCCTTCCTCCTCAGGGGAGGACTCCTCACACTCTGCCCTGCCCCAGCGTGGGGTCCCCCCCACAGCAGACAGCCCTCCATGAACTTCTCCAACGTGAGTCCTTCCCGGTGGCTGCAGCTCTTCACGCACTGCCCCAGCGTGGGTCCCTCCCAGGGGTGCAGCCCTTGGGGCACAGCCTGCTCCAGCGTGGGTCCCCCGCGGGGTCACAAGTCCTGCCAGAAACCTGCTCCGGCGTGGGCTGCTCTCCCCACGGGGCCACAGGTGCTGCCAGGAGCCTGCTCCAGCGTGGGCTTCCCACAGCCACAGCCTCCTTGGGGCACCCCCTGCCCCAGCGTGGGGCCCTCCCCGGGCTGCAGGTGGAGATCTGCTCCTCCGTTCCCCTCCCTGGGCGCAGGGCACAGCTGCCTCCCCACGGGCTGCCCACGGGCTGGGGGGAACCTCTGCTCCGGGCCTGGAGCACCTCCTGCCCTCCTGCTTCACTCACCCGGGGGCTGCAGCGTTGTTTCGCTCACATGTTCTCACTCCTCTCTCCGGCTGCAATTACTCAGGTTTTTCTCCCCTTTTTAAACACGTTATCCCAGAGGCGCTACCACCACGGTGATGGGCTCAGCCTTGGCCAGTGGTCGGTCCATCTCCATGCTGGCTGGCATTGGCTCTGTTGGACATGGGGGAAGCTTCTAGAAGCTGCTCACAGAAGCCACACCGGTAGCCACCCCACACTACCAAAGCCATGCAAACCCAATACAGCTATAGAAAGGTATGAGAAAAGTTTTTGGGTATTCACAAATTTTGTGATTTTGATGAGTAAAAACTAGGTGGAGTAATGAGTTATTTCAATTTCCTCTGTTAGAGAGAAGAGCTGTTAGGAGGCTTTTGGAAGTACTTAAGTAGCTGTTCAACTGGAGGTTGGTTTGTCTGGGGGAACTTCATATAAAACATTGTCTTTAATGGAAGTACTTACAGATCTTGGTGAGGCCACGAAATCTTTCAGGTGTCTGAAGTGTCAGATTGATGGTTCTTCACATGGAGATTCACATCACACCATAAACACAGCACAACTACAGCAACACGGGTTTACTCAAATAGTGCAGCAGTGTGAGGAAAATGCCTTTGCAGTATAGCGAACAGTTTGTTCTCTGTCATTTCCCTTCTTGGCTCCTCTGCTTGGACCAACATACAAAGCAGTGATGGTAGAGGCAGAGAAGTCTCCGTTTTTGTTTCTGTGAATACGAGTACACACCGCGCTGAGATTCAGAGTAATATCTGCATTCGAGCTTGTCTGGTGTGCAAATATTCTTACAACACACATCAGTTGAAAAGAGACAGCTATTAATAACATCAGCTTAATAGACATGAAAATGTACTGTTGCTGAAGGATGGATAAACCAATACTGGAAAAACTGTTCTACTTTAGGGGTTTTTTTTGCAAGTGTTTTAACTACTCAGTAAAACAAAAAGAAAGTAGATTAAAATCAAAGCATTTCCATCTTAGTTGTAAACAATTACAGCAATACTTGCATGGATGCCACATTAGAAGAAATTTACTGGATTCCATTCTAATGCAATTAGAGC